GAACATACCCTGCTATCTTATGCCCTATAAACCATGGTCGCCAGCTCTCCAACTCTGTATAATTCAACCTTCTTATCCATTCCAAGGCTCCAATGTATGGAGCGGCCATGTCATGGTCCCCACTAGAACAACAAATGTAAAATAGTTTTTTATTACAATTTCAATCAAGTATTTCCACAACATATAAAAAGGGGATAACCTGACATTAGTGAATTCTAGAAACTTTTGAAAGCATAAAGTTTTGCTTAAATGTCCATTTAGGGAGTTCTAAAGACTTAATTGATGAGCTCTTAAAAATCTGTGACCCTTATCTTTGTGTTTTTTTGTAACTTAAGGCATATGGACTTCAAGTCATGGTTAAAACCTTATTAAAAAGTCAATGATGAATTTTATTCCCTAAGTTTGTTAAGTTTATCTTATGCCATTTTGAGTCCTGGAAACCCTAGAGTGGTGAACTTGTCAATCTTACAAGAAGATCGACATTTTAGAAGGATGAGTGGTTCAAAGATTAGAAAGTGGACAGTCATGATAGTTTTATTAAGTTGTTTCTTTTCCTATTTTACAAGTTAGTCTCTACACTTTGTTTAAAATTTTAGAAATATGCTTTACATATTTTGTGGCGGTCTAGTTTTACCAATTTTGAAAGTAGCAACAAGATAAGGGAGTTTAGAAAATTGAAGGTAGCTTGAGTTTTATGCTGTATGAAAGAAAAATTGATCGAACCTCATGGAATAGCATAATAAGTCTATGGCTGATTCAATCAATTTTACTAATACAATTTAACTTTCTATTCATTACGAGAGGCCACCTTTAACTTATATATTCCTTACGTCGTTAGGTAGAAACATTGATTCTACAACTGAAGCCTGGGTATGCGAGAGTCTCAGGCAAATGCGATCCAAACCTCAGCTAATATACATTATTACAACTAACATCCATCTAACCAAAACCTATATCACTTAGATTTTAGTTAAACCCTAATTTGTCTAATTCAACCCCTTTATGCCTCTTATTATCCACTTCTACTTATTATAGAGGATCTTGATAGGTCCAAAGCCTAGTATCCTATACTTTATAAAGAACCTAAACCCTTTTTAACACCTAAATCTTAACCTAATTAGAACTTCAAAACTTACATCAAGCCTTTTCTTATTAGCCATCCAAACATGTTGCACCCATGTAAAAGCCAAACCTCGTTGGTCGTACTGTAGTGTTGGTAACATAGTAAGTTGTCTGTTGAAACTTATCTTGAATTCATGCATGTCAACTGAATAGGCCATATGGCTCTCATTTCTTCCAGAACCAAATTGATGAGTGTTTATTGTAACTAATGGATTGAAAGAATACCATGTGAGAAATTCTTAATGTATTGGTCGAAGAAGAGCTCATACACGTAGATTGACTAACTAACAATGGGAGCAGATGAGGGCAACAACAATGAAGATAGAGAGCACTCCAATAATTCTCCTCTTATAGAAGGCAATATTTCAATCATCCAACCTTCAAGAGTTGATATCATTCTTAAGACAAATACTACTAACTTTCATAAGGTGGCAAAAGTAAAGGATGACTAAAGCCTCATAGCACTTTGTAATAGTGCATTTGTCATGCTCATGAATATGTGGTCCAAAATCAATTTATTAGTATATTTTTTAGAGTAGGAGTTTGAATTTCCCATTATTAATTTAATAAGTGATCCCATTTATTGATGACATACTTGATGCCAATTTAGTAGAGGAAGAAATTTCCAAGATCATGAAAAGAAGTAAACCTTTGGCCCACAAAGAAGTTGAGGATGTGATTTCCTTAGTGAAGAAAATGTTGAATCACAAGATGAAGATAATGTGGTAGAAAAATTAAGTGAATTAGTTCTTATTTGCTTCAACTCTTTTGTCGACATAAATAGATCATTTCTCCTGATATTTTCAAAAGTGGTAATATTTATAAATGAGGCACACTTTAAAGTGGCATGTGCAACAAAGAATATCACTGAAGGAAAATTGCTTTATGCTAGGCGCCATTTAAGATCATTTTAAAACTCAAAAACAAAATTTCTTTAATAAGTAAAGAGTGATGTAAATCACTTTTGGAAGTATAAGTTTTCATAAGAAAGAAAGTCAATTGATACAAAGCTTGAATCAATTATCCCTTTAAGATTATAAGCCTTATATGTTATATCCTTTGTAATTCATATGTTTTAAGCTTCACTTTCATGTATTCATGTTGAAAACCTTCAAGAAAAATTATTGACAAATTTTATTTTTGAGTGTGTAATAGGAGCTATGAGTGTTATGTTGAGGAAGGTAGAAGACAAAGGTCTCATTAGATATGTTAAAGTTTCAAGTACTACTCCAAGCATTTCTCACCTTCAATATACCAATGATACATTTGATTTTTTGTGGTGTAGATGTTAATTTGATTTTGTTTTTAAGAAGTTTCTTTAGATACTATGAAGTTGTTTTGGAACTCAAAGAAAATTTTGATAAGACTAACATGGTTGGAATTGATTTTAATGGGAAAATGGTTGGTAGCTTAGCTACTTATTTTGGGTGTAAAGTGGATTAATTTCCCATAAAGTACTTCGGTTTGCGCATTTCGAATTGTAGGACTCTTAGATTGGTGTGGGATCCAGTTATCTATGGGTTTTATGAAAAATTGAATTTGTGGAAGGCTAAATATTTGTTGTTGGTAGGGAGGATTACATTGTTGAAGTCTACCTTGTCTAATATGCCAACCTATTATATGTCACTTATGTGCATGCCGAATGGAGTGGTCCACCAGTTGGAGAGACTAATGAAAGTATTTCTTTAGGGAAGTAGCCAAAATAAGAGGAGACATCATTTAGTAGGTTGGAGGAAGATTTATGCTCCTAGAAATGATGCTGGTTGAGAATTGGGAAATTAGAAGTTATGAATAAAGCTCTATTGATAAGTGGTGGTGGAGTACTCTAGAGGAAGATCATTTATGGAGATAGATACTGGTGGCTAAGTATGGCTAGGATGGGAAGAAGTGGTAGGGCATGTTCATCTATACTTCATTTTGAGCCATTTTTAGAGCAGAATGTGAGGTTTGCTATTGGAAATGGGGAAAAAAAAATTGTTTTGGCATCATTGGCGGCTGAGTACAAGTGCATCGAAGTATTAGTACTTCGATCTTTTTCCATATGGGAGTAAATTACCATGTAAAAGTTAAAGATATTGCGTCAGTTAAGGGTCTCAAAGTAAATGGAAGATTAGTTGCAGGTGTAATATGTCTCTGATTTTGTCATTAACAAACTGATTCATTCGCTACAAGAGTTGAAGATGGTGTATTTATGTCCTAAAAGAGTAGATGAATTGCCATGGGACATGAACACTAGGGGTGACTTTGATATCAAATCTCTTTGTTTTTTGTTGTTCAATGATAGTTATAGGTGGAGAAAACCAGGAGTTGCAAAGATTTGGAAGTTGCAAATTCACAAAAAGTACATGCTTTCCTATGGTTATTGTTTCTTGGTAAGCTGTTAACAATGGACAATTTAAGGAAAAGGACTAAGGTTATTGTTAGTATTTGTATGTTATGTAATACGTAATGATGAAGAAACATGTGAATATATGTTCTTAAATTGTCAATGTTCAACGTGGATATGGGTTTTTCGTGTGATGGGGTTACAACTCATTCCTAAACAAGATGGTGATATTGTGGATCATCTTAATCGCCCAAATATTCTTACACTAGGAAACACTATCTAGTAACTACCACTTACACCCTCACTACAAACGTAATTATAAATATATCTGTCAACATCTTGCTATTGCATCGAAACATATAAATATTGACTAATTTGGCTCACATTGAACTTGGTAAATCAAATGGTTCTTTTTGAGCAACACCTTTTGTGGGTAATATGGAAGGAGAAGAATATAAAACTTTTTGATGGGGTGTGCTTGATTATTGATTAACAACACGTGTTCTACAATATGAAGGAGGTTGTGTTGCATAATTACAGCAGGCGGAGAAGTTATGGGGTGTGGAAACCTCCTGCTCAATGATTAACTAAACTCAATTTTAATGATAGTTCTTTAGAAAATCTTGGTCCAACTAGACTGGGAGGATTGTTGAGGAATCATATGAAAAATATTTTGATGACTTTCTATAGACCGTGTAGAGTTGCACTTGCAAAATAAGGAAAATGCTAGCTTCGCTCATGCGCTTGAAAATCATTGAAGAAAACTAGTTGGGTAATGTTATAGGGGTGAAAGGAGATTCTTTTAACATTGTTAAGTGGTGTAAAGTAGAGCAGCAAGTGCCCTAGAATCTGAAATCTTTGTGGTTCAAAGTTTTAGACTATCTTGAAAAGTTGAAAGCCTCCTTTACACATGTTTACCAAGAGTTAAATAAGGAGGCATATGATCTTGCTAAGCAGTGTACACATCTAGATTAGTAGTCAGGGGGTTTGTGTAGGATTGCTTTATACTTTCATATTTTGTTTGATGTAACTTGCTGGATATTAATAAGATTAAATATCACTTTTCAATGATAATAAGGGGGAGGAGGACTTGTCTAAGGAAAATTAAAGTGGGCCTTCAAAATTTAAACAATGGTTAAATTTCAATGCACTAGAATACACAAATTGTTGAAGAGTACCCACTTATCACCTTTTGTTTTCGAACCCCTCCCATCAATCATATACGCAAACACTTCCTAGTACAACTCTAATTGATCATTTGCTATAAGAACTCAAGTGATATATGTAAGCTTGAGTGAGAAACTATAGGCAGACAAATGAATAACCTGTAAATAAAGGCCCGGTAACCTTTCAAAGTAAGATTTAAGTGATGTTGGATCAAGCCTATCTTTTCTTGTCGATAATTGAGCCTATCGGAACACCTTTTCCACCTTCCAGCTACTTCTACCTGTCAACACCTTGCAAAGATGTTAAGTGAACCCAACAAACATCTTGTAAATATTTTATGGGAATGTGTAATGTGAGGCCATTTACTATTTCTACATGAAGGTTGCCATCTTTTCTAGCCATTAGATGTAAAATCCAACAACTTGACATGTATTACAAAGCTAAAAAATAAGCGAGAC